CTAGCCTGACCAACATGGTGAAACCCTGTCTCTACTAAAAATACAAAAATTAGCCAGGCATGGTGGTTGGTGCCTGTAATCACAGCTACTCCGGAGGCTGAGGCAGGAGAATCACTTGAATCTGGGAGGCGGAGGTTGCAGTGAGCTGAGATCAAGCTGTTGCACTCCAGCCTGGGCAACAGAGCGAGATTCTGTCAAAAAAAAAAAAAAAAATTCCTAGAAGAAAGCTTAGGGAAAACTCTTCTGGACATTGATCTAGCCAAAAACCTCGTGACTATGCCCTCTAAGGCACAGGCAACAAAACAGAAAACAGGCAAATAAGATTTATCTAAACAAAAAAGCTTCTGCACTGTAAGAATTAAAGAAAGAGGAAAGAAACACGAAAGACGGGTTTCTTTTAGAGAAAACAAACCTAAGAGGGGGGTTTGGCCGAGTTAGGTTGGAGGCACACTCTTTTACAGACTAAGAGTTTTTAAGGATTTAGGGTGGGAGAGTTTATTAGAGGCTTGGAAGGCTTCCGTGTCTCTTTGCTATGCTTATCTGGGAGGGAGAGTTGTGTGTCTATTCCTATGCAGGCACAGCCCCTGAGTCTGCTTTTAAATTCCCTATCTTAATACACGTGAAGGGAAAGGAATGCGCTTATTAAGACCCACTGTTTTACTGGGGCCCATTATATGAGGGTGAAGTTTGGCAGTTACCCAAGAGACTTTCCCCCTGCTTCCCTCTGTGCCTGAGCTGTCTTATCTGTGTTTTACTGTCTGCTCTTTCTGGCTGCTTGTAGTTAAAAGAGAAGTGATTTCCTTGAAATGCATGAGGCTGGAAAGGGAGCTGGAACTTAAAGTGGCAGCGTTTGTCCAAGATGATGGTGCTCCTGGTCTGTCGTGCACAGCAAAAGACATAATCAACAGAGTGAACAGGCAACCTGCAGAATGGGAGAAAATATCTGCAAACTATCCATCCATCCAACAGGGGATTCATATCCAGAATTTACAAGGAACTCTAACAACAAAAATATCACAAATAGTCCCATTAAAAAGGGGAAAAGGACATGAATAGACATTTTTCAAAAGAAGACATACAAATGGCCAATAAGCATATGAAATAATGCTCATCATCACTAATCATTAAACAAATGCAAATTAAAACCACAATAAGAGATCATCTTATATCAGTCAGAATAGCCGTTATTAAAAAGACAGAAATAACAAATGTTGATGAAGATGCAGCTGAAAGGGAACCCATAAACAGTTGTTGAGAAGGTAAATTAGTATAACCTCTATGGAAAACAGTATGGAGATTTCTCAAAGAACTAAAACTGGAACTACCATTTGATCCAGCAACCCCGTGACTGAGTGTTTACCTGAAGGAAAAGAAATCATTATACCAAAAGTATACCTGCACACATATGTTTATCGCAGCACTATTTATAGCAGCAAAGGTATGGAATCAACCTAAATGACCATCAATGGATGACTGGATAAAGAAAATGTGCTATATACAAACAATGGAATACTCTTCAGCCATAAAACATAATGAAACCATGTCACTTGCAGAAACATGGATGGAACTGGAGGCCATTATCTTAAGTGAAACATCTCAGACACAGAAAGACAAATACTGCGTGTTCTCAGTTACAGTGGGGCCAAATGATGCATACGCATGGACGTAGAGTGTGGAATGACAGACAATGGAGAGTCTGAGGGGCAGGGGTGTAGGAGGGGGTTGGATGATGAGAAATTACTTGATGGGTAGGATGCACGTTATTTCAGTGATGGATACTCTAAACGTCCTGACTCGACCATTATGCAATATATCCATGTAATAAAATTATACATTGACACCAATAAAATATTTTAAAAATATCTGAATTGGAAAGGAAGAAGTTAAATTGTTTCTGTTTGCAGATGACATGATCTTATAGGTAGAAAACCCTAAAGACTCCACTGAGAAACTGTGAGAACTAATAAACAAATTCAGTAAGGTTGCAGAGTATAAAATCAACATACAAAACCTAATAGGTTTTCTATACATTAAAAGCAAACTAATTGAAAAGAAATCAAGAAAACTATTTCATTTACAATAGTTATAATAAAATAAAATAAAATACTCAGGAACAAGTTTAACCAAGGGAGTGAGGATATCTACACTGAAAACTGTAAACACGAATGAAAGAAATTGATGAAAACACAAATAAATAGAATGATATCCTGTGTTTATGAACTGAAAGAATCAATATTGTCCAAATATTCTTAAAGCAATCTACAGATCTCATGCAATCCCTATAAATACACTAATGACATTATTCACAGAAATAGAAACAAAAGTTCTAAAATTTGTATAGAACCACAAATAACCAAAGTGATCTTGAACACTAAGAACATAGCTAGAAGCATCACATTCCCTGACTTCAAAAGAAACCACAACACTGCAGTAACCAAAATATCATCATTCTGACATAAAAACAGACACATAGACAAATGGAATGGAATAGAGAGACTAGAAATAAAGTCACTCATTTACAGCCAATTGATTTTCAACAAAGATGCCAAGAATGGGGGAAGGACAGTTTCTTCAATAAATTGTATTAGGAAAACTGGGTATCCACGTGCAGCAGAACGAAATTAGTCCCTTATTTCTTACGGTATACAAAAATCAGTTCAAAGGAGTTAATGGCTTGAATGTAAGATCAGAAGCTATGAAATTTTTGGAAGAAAGCATAGGGGGAAAGATTTATGACATTGGTCTTGGTAATGACTTTTTGAATATGACCTCAAAAGCACAGGCGATGAAAGAAAAATTAGATGACCGAGATTACTTCAAACTAAAAAGGTTCTGCACAACAAAGGATACAACAAGAAGAGTTAAGAGATAACCTACAGAATGGGAGAAAATATTTATAAGGTATACATCTCATAAGGGGTTAATATCCAAATGTACAAGGAGCCCAAACAGCTCACAAACAAGAAAACAAAAACCTGATTAAAAATAGGAAAAATACCTGACTAGATATCTCTCAAAAGAAGACATACAAATGGCTAACAGGTTTGTGAAAAAGTAATCAACATTACTAATCATTAGGGAAATACAAATCAAAACCACATTGAGATATCACCTTACTCCTGTTAGAATGGTTATCATAAAAAAGACAAAAGATAACAAGTATTGGCAAGGATGTGAAAAAAAATCCCTTGTACACTGTTGGTGGGAATGGAAACTAGTTCAGCCATTATGGAAAACAATATAAGCTTTCCTCAAAAAAATTAAAAATGGAATTAGCATATGATCCAGCAATCCACCTCTGGGTACAGTATGTATCTAAAGGAAATGACATCAGTATGTTGAAGAAATAACTGCATGTCCACATTTATTGCAGCACTATTCACAATTGCGAAGATATGCACACAATGCAAGTGTCCACCAACAAATAAGTGGATAAAGAAAATGAAGTATATACTCAGTGCAGTACTATTTGGCCATAAAAAGAAGGAAGTTCTGTCATTTGTGGCAACATGGATAAATCTCAAGGAAATTATGCTAAGTGAGGTCAACCAGTCACAGAAAGACAGATAGCACATGATCTCACTCACATGATCTCACTCAAAAAAGTTGATATCATAGAAGTAGAGCAGAAAATGAAGATAACCAGAGGCTAGGGGTGGCTAGGGAGTCATGGGCTTGAGGAGATACTGGTCAAAAGACATATAATTGTAGCTGGACAGGAGGAATGAGGTCAAGAGGTCTGCTGTGTAGCATAGTGACTACAGTGAATGATGATATATTGCACATATTGTATTCTTGAAAAATTCTGACAATGGATATTAAGTGTTCTCACCTGGATATTAAGTGTTCTCACCACAAAAAAATGATAGGTATGAGAGGTAATGCATTTATGAGCTAGATTTAACCCTTCCACAATGTATACATATTTCAAAATATTATGCTGTACATGATAAATACAATATTATATGTCAATCTGAAAAATAACTGATTGTTTTTAATTTCACTGAGCTTGAGCTCTTTCTATATTCAGCACCTCATGGAAGACACAGTAGTGGGGGTAGATAGATTCTTAAAAGCATTCTACAGATGTTACACAGTGTTAAGGAGCCTGGGTGAAGTACGGACAGCCTCTCCTGGGACTGTTTGTTACAGCTGTTTGTAAATCTACAATTATCTCAAATGTCTTTTTTAAAAAGTGAAAACACACACCTGTATTATGTTAACAGACAGTTAGAGGCATTTTAAAGAAACAATGAGTTATGGAACAAAAATGGGACTATGTCTTCCAGAATCTAATAGATCTGCTGGAGAGACATGACACAAAATATAGGAGAGCAAAGTATCAATTTAAGAAACTGTGACCTATCAGTAACACCAAGTATAAAAATTTAAGGATATAGAACATGACCCAAAATTTAAAACATCCAAGGAAACCCATTTCAGCAGTGTAGAGGTCACCAAGGCCACACGCAGGTATCGCTGTCCCTTTGCTCATGGCTTAATAATGACCCACAGACTAGGAATGCCACACTGAGCAGATGGGCTTTCCTTGCTATTGGTCACTAGAGGGAATGCCTAACTGGAAGTGTGACTGACTGACCAAATCCCATTTTGGTAGAGGGTACCGGAAGTGAGAGTGAGAAATGCAATTCCAGATGCAGGGAATCACATGAACAGCCCTCTGTGGAGGAAGAGGAAGAGGAAGAGAATGTGGTCTAGAAGATGCCACCAAGGTGTGAATCATGAGAGAAGGCAGACATGATAGATCTTATTACATCAGGACAAGAAAATTTTGTTTTTAACAAGTTTAAACCATTAAATGGGCAAACATTATTGTGTAATCTGATAATCAATTAGTTATTAAGTAAACAAAAACAAGGAAAATGTGGTAACAACAGGACAGCTGGGCAGTATATAAGAGGCTGTGGCCCGAGGATACTTCCAAACGTGAGAACCTCATTCTTCTAGAAACCCACCCAGAACCTCCACCCTCTGACACCATGGTCAGCTCCTGTTGTGGCTCTGTCTGCTCTGAGCAGAGCTGTGGCCTGGAGACCTGCTGCCGCCCCACCTGCTGCCAGACCACCTGCTGCAGGACCACCTGCTGCCGCCCCAGCTGCTGTGTGTCCAGCTGCTGCAGACCCCAGTGCTGCCAGTCTGTGTGCTGCCAGCCCACCTGCTGCCGCCCCAGCTGCTGCATCTCCAGCTGCTGCAGGCCCCAGTGCTGCCAGTCTGTGTGCTGCCAGCCCACCTGCTGCCGTCCCAGCTGCTGCATCTCCAGCTGCTGCCGCCCCTCCTGCTGTGAATCCAGCTGCTGCCGCCCCTGCTGCTGCCTGCGTCCAGTCTGTGGCCGAGTCTCCTGCCACACCACTTGCTATCGCCCAACCTGTGTCATCTCCACCTGCCCCCGCCCCTTGTGCTGTGCCTCCTCTTGCTGCTAAATCTCTCCTTGTGATATTTGTCATACTATGAATGTCTTCATTAGTCACATAAAATGCACTGTAGCCAGCCAGTCACTGGAAAAAATGAACGCTTCCCTGCCAATTTGTCTCATGTGGCATTCAGAGTGGACATTCAGCTCTTCTAGGAAATGACAGACATACACACATTCATTAAAATATGTTGTGCCAGGCCCCAATGCAGTTATTTTTAGATGAGCAGCGTCTTCATTCGAAGGGGACACTAACTATGATGATCTCATATAATATTGTTTTCACGTATTAATAAACAGCCACTTCCCTAATATCGAAATCTCCTGATTTGTTAGTGATTTCATTGTGCCTCTGTGTGTGTGTGCGTGTGTGTGTGTGTGTGTGTGTCTTTACCTGTCACTTCACATCAAGGGCCATCTCTCTTCAAATGCAGGAGAGCATGTTTAAGAGCCTGGGCTCTTGATTCATGTTAACTGATTGGAATCACGACTCCCCTAGGTATTTGTTGTGTGGTCTGGGGCAAGTTGTTTAACCTCCTCAGGCCTCAGTTTTTTTCTCTGAGAATAGAGATAATGCATTATGTTCTTTAAATGTTCAGAGACATAACCCATGTAATATACTCACCACAGGGCCTGGTACATAATGCAGTATAGGCTCTTAATGTATTCAGCTTCTGGCCGAGTGTGGTGGCTCACATCTGTAATCCCAGCACTTTGGGAGGTTGAGTGGGTGGATCACTTGAGGCCAGGAGTTCAAGACCAGTGTGGACAACACGGTGAAGTCCCTTCTTTACTGAAAGCACAAAAATTAGTTGGGTGTGGTGGTGCACACCTGTAGCCCCAGCTACTTGGGAGGCTGAAGCAGATGAATCACTTGAAGCCAGGAGGAGGAGGTTGCAGTGAGCCGAGATCATGTCATTGCACTCCAGCCTGGGTGACAGAGCAACTATGGCTCAATAAATAAAGAAACAAATACAAGTTCTGCTGTTATTATTACTGAAACACTACCCTGGGCTAGAATAATATCTTAGCATAATGTTCTTTTTGACAGAACAGCAAGAAAATTTGTATCATTGTTGGACTGTCTTCTATAACTCAAAATTAAGTTTTGGTATATGCCTCAAATGTCCCTTAAAAACTCCAGCAAGTTGAACATCATGAAGTCATCTACATTTTGTCTGACTGTATTTCTACTTCCAGTATGTTCCATTATTGGTTGTGGAAATTTTGAGTGTTCTCCCTAGCTCAAGTACTTTTTCCTTATTTCCTTCCTTCCCCCTCCCTCCCCTTCTAATCCCTTTACCTTCCCTCCACCTGCCCTCCCCTCTGCCTGCCTGCCTTCCTTCCTTCCTTCCTTCCTTCCTTCCTTCCTTCCTTCCTTCCTTCCTTCCTTCCTTTTTTCCTCTCTTAACATAAAATGATCTTTCAGAATACAAAGCGTACCTTCTAAGTCAAGATTTCTGGAAATTTATGACATTCATGGCAGATTTCTCATAAATGTTTTATACCTTGTAATTAATAGATGCTCAAAGTCTTAGTATTTCCAGACTGAAACTCCTTTATAATTTTAGCCTCTAATGTTACTGAGGTTTCTTCATTTTCTTGATGGTTTTACTCCTTCGTTTCGGGCTTTAATCACCTTGCATTGTCTTAAGAGAACATGGGTGGGACTTCTTCTTAAGACTCAGTTTTCTCATCACCAAAACTCAAATAAGTGTTATTCTATGTAGATGAAAAAATGTGTCATGATATGTGCAATATATCTTATTTATATAAATATAAGGGTTTATACATTTCAGCTAATAATCTGAAGTATATTAAAACTGCTTTAAATCCAAAATTTCTACAAATCAGAATTTTATTTATTAGCTGTGTTACATTTCCAAAGAAATGTAACTAAGAGCTAGTTAGTATTTCTGAAATGTAAAAATAAAGAAGTTTTAAGTTGTCAAGAGACTACATGAATAGAAATTAACATTATGTGGGCTTCACTCCAGCCTAAGTTAGGCATTATAGTCTTAGCATATCATAAAAATGCCTTGCAGACACTTTGAGCTTCAGCCTTTTCCATTCACTCTAAATTATTCTAAAGAGTACAGACTTGTCATTTCATACATCAGAATTAACAAACCTTTTATCCTCCCGTATGTTCTTCTTTGACAACTACTCATTACAGGATGCAGGTTTTAACATTATGCTTTATTAGCTAGAGTGAAATCAAAGACTATAGGTTTTATATGGTCTTTTCAGTATTAAAGTATATGAAGCTTGTAATTTCCTGTGTCCACAAGAACTGGGCTACAGCAGGAATGAGATGACACAGTGTATCTGTGTAATAAAGAGACTATTTGCAAAGGGGTAGCTAGAGTTCAGGGAAAGCAATAAGGGAAACCTCAGTACCCAGGGCTCACAGTAACAAGGAGCAGGTACTCCAGGCCTATGCAATAATTTGGGTGAAATGTCCCAAGGGTGGCATGTGAAACTTCTTAGGATGAGTATGCACAGACACTCCAGTATAGTCATTGCCTTTGGAGAGAGTTATGGTGCTCTAAAGGGTCCAAAGATGATATGGAAGACACTGTGGTGGTGAAACCCAAGGTAGATATAAATTTATGAATGGGAAAGTGTGACTGTGGTGATTATTCTGTGGTCACATCAGCTTTACCTAAATGCATAGTAGAGATGGATTTTAAGTGAATGAAATATTGATTTAGTTGATGTTTCATTCACTTCAAAGTCACTCAGTATTATTTACTCATGCTAAATATATACCTTCGGAATTGCTCAAGCTTTCTAGCTAGTGAAACTAAACAAGATAGAACTCCAGAGGGGCAGCAAGAGATGCCTGTTTTGATTAAGAAAGTAGCTGAAACAAGAGTTTTAATTCCCATGAACTCCCTCATAATAGTCCCATCTGGCCAGTAAGTAAGGAAGAGGTTAACAACAGGCTTGGTGATTAAACAAGTTGGTTCCACCAATTGTTTCAGCTACACCACCTAAGTCAGAACATTACAGGAAACTCAACAAACCTAGTAAGACTCATACGCTGCTGCAGACTTAGCTAGTGCATTCTTTTCAACGCCAGTTTCAGAAGCCAGACAGGTGCAATTTACATTTTCATGTCAAGGAACCCAGTATACATATACCATTTTGCCACGCAGATATGAGTTCACTAGCATATTGCCATAACCTATTAAGGCAGACTTGAGCTTGATAACCATTAAAAGCAAGTTAATACCATATATTGATGACTGTGACACTAGCGCATGAAAAATCATTAGCAAATTGAAAATCAAGTCCAGACATAGACTAAAGTACATAAAACAATTTATTATATGAAAAGGTGGCACTTTAACTCAGTAATGGAAAGATGTATTCTTTAATCAATGATGTTGAGCCATGGTCATATCTGATTATAAAACAGTAAACCTCATATTTTGTATCTGTATACATTCCTAGTAGGTAAAATGTTTTAAAATAGAAAACATGAAACCTCGAAGTTAACAGAAATTATACGATAATGTTTATGTAAATTTATAACTGGAAAGGCCTTTCAAAATATGACACATACCCAGGAGCTATCAAAGAAAAAAATTCATAGATTTGACTGCACCAAAAACAATATGAAGGTAAAGAAAATTCCTTTCATATCTGATTTTGCAGAGAGGTAGTATGTATAGTGATTAAAAACATGGACCCAGTGGTGGGCTGGCTGAAATAAAATTACAGCTCCCCTGCTTACTGGCTTGAATCCCACCTGTGCCTTAAGTTTCTCATCTGTAAAGGGAGGATTACAATAGAATTTTCCATACTGGATTGTTGGGACTAGTAATTGAGCTAATATATGTAAAACATTAGAACAATTGCAAAACATGTCATTTGTTATTTTGTTATTCCAGCATCCAGCAAAACTTTCAGCATACAATATTTAGAGCTGAAAGAGAGAGAGAGAGAGAGAGAGAGAGAGAGAGAGAAGGGAAAGAAAGAAGAAAGAAGGAAAGAAAGAAAGAAAGAAAGAAAGAAAGAAAGAAAGAAAGAAAGAAAGAAAGAAAGAAAAAAAAAAAAACAGAAAGAAAAGGAAAAGAAAAAAGAAAGAAAGAAAGAAGGAATGAAAGAAAGAAAGAAAGAAAGAAAGAAAGAAAGAAAGAAAGAAAGAAAGAAAGAAAGAAGAAAAAGCAGGAATTCCAGAACATGTTGGGTTTTTATTTTGTTTAAGTTTCTGGAAAAGAACAAGTATAGTTAGTGCATAATTGTGCCAATGATTCCATTCTAGTCTTTTAATGTTAATATTTCTTCCTTATCTCTAAATGGCTTATTCTTTTTAAGTTCTTCTTTCTTAGGCACATCTTATCCTTTCTGATTTATTTATCCTTTAAAAATGTTAATTGTTGGCTTTAAGTACGTAGGGGGTATAAATTATATATATAGAAAGTTATAGAATATGTAAACAATTAGTTCAACTGAAATATCTTTTATAACTTTTAGGAAGAACCCTTCTTATACCTCTATTTTCAATTTGTTCCAAGTCTCTACCAATTCTTTCAAAGAAATAATTAAGTTATTTCATAAATAAATTTATTATTTCATAATGAAGAGAATAATTTATCCATATTATGCTCAAGGCCATCACCTGATGCTGAGAGTTCAACTTTTACTCTGTCTCACTTCAACTTTTTTCTTTTCTTTCTTTTTTTTTTTTTTTTTTGAGATGGAGTCTCGCTCTGTCCCCACCAGCTGGAGTGCAGTGGCATGATCTCTGCTCACCGCAAGCTCTGCCTCCTGGGTTCATGCCATTTTCCTGCTTCAACCTCTTGAGTAGCTGGGACTGCAGGTGTCTGCCATCATGCCCAGCTAATTGTTTTGTATTTTTAGTAGAGACGGGGTTTCACTGTGTTACACAGGATGGTCTCAATCTCCTGACCTCATGATCCGCCTGCCTCGGCCTCCCAAAGTGCTGGGATTACAGGCGTGAGCCACTGCATCTAGCCTCACTTCAATTTTTTAAAGCATCTCTTCCCAGCAATCCAGGAGCATTTTGTCATTTCTAAAGGCAGATCAAAAATTAAAATAAATTGTACATAGCATATATATTGAAAGCACTTTTGCCAAAATTATAACAGTAAGAAAATTATCACAGTGGAAGAGATCTGATTGAACCAACCCCTATCTTGCCTTTAACTGCCAAATTGCCCTGGGCTTGGGCCAAGCTAACTTGAGGAGAAATTTAGTTTATATTTAAATGATAATATCCATTCCACAAAACTAAAACACCTTTGTAAAACTAATGAAAGTTCACCACGTTAGGAGGATGAGAGGAGCCTGAATTCTCCTTAGCAGACTAAGGTGTAGACATAAACAATTACCAGCCACTATAACAGAGGTCGCAAGATTTGCAACTTCCCCAATTACTCCAGCAGATAACATCACTACTGTTGAGCCTAAAATTAGACTTTTGAGACATGTTTTCATGCTTTTGCATTTCTGACAATCAGTATCCCCACCTGGACCTATGACTCTTGACTCAACTGGTCCTGCCCCTACCGACCCCTGCCACCTGAAGCAAACTCAGCTCACCAGGACCATGGTCCACAGCCCTATGATTGCTTCCACAATCAATCAGCAGCACCCATTCCTTTGCCCACTAAACTATTCTTGAAAAACCCTAGCCTCCTAATTTTCAAGGAGGCAGATGCGAATAATAACAAAGCTCTGGTCTCCTTTTTAGCTGGCTCTATGCACATTAAACCCTTTCTCTATTGCAATTCCCCTGTCTTGATAAATTGGCTCTATCTGGGCAGCAAGCAAAATGAACCCATTGGGTGGTTACAATATCACCTAACATTCCTTCCTGAAGGCTTTTCATAGCTCCCCACCATTTCTTCCAGGATTTGAGGGTACCCACAATTTCTCCCACATGCTGTCAATCCCAACTTCTCTCATTACTTCTCAAAACAGACTTTTCAGCGTATCACTTTCACCATCATAAGATAGGGTCATGCCCAATCTTAATTATGTGCTCCTTTTATATCCTCTTTCTCTTCACCTATGTGAATGGTTTGTATTCTCAAAGGTCAGTGTGACCCTTGAAAGCCTTAACAAAATCTTCATCCATTAAACATACATTTCCTCATTCTATTTCAGGTTCTGTTATATAAAGATGAATAGATCATAGTCTATGCCCTAATGGAGTTTGTATTTTAGAAGGAGCCAATAAACAAACGAATTTCTGATAGAGAATCAGATGATAGAGGCTGTGCATATATAAGGCACAACAGATGTGCAATGGAGGAAGGACCTTGCTTTGTGTGAGACCAAGAAAGATATTAGAGAAAAATGGCATTTGGACTAACCAGTAAAAAACAACTAGAAGAATGCTAAATTAAGAAAATAAAAACTATTTTACCCCAAAATATATTTTTGGACATATTTTAAGATGGCTGCCACATGGTCAGCAGACTAAAGTGGCCCTGCAAAGCTGTCTTTTGTGAAGGAAATTTGCATCTGTAGAGAATCTCCATTAATGCAGCCAGGCCTTCTCATTATAGGCATTTCCTGGATCTAGAAGAGAATAACTGACTCTCTGATACCCTTAAAGTTCTGAAAAAAATCATTTACCATCTCTTTTCTCTGAGGGCTGCTACCTGTGAGATTTCATCCACATAACAAGACCCCCTTTGCTAACCAAGCCTCTTTCTTTCTCCTTCCCATAACCTGTTGATATGGTTAGGCTTTGTGTCCCGACCCAAATCTCATCTTGAATTGTAGTTCATAATCCCCACATGTCATGGGAAGGACACAGGGGGAGACAATTTAGTCATGGGATCGGTTACCTTCATGTGATAGTGAGTTCTCATGAGATCTGATTGTCTTATAAGGGGCTTATCTTCCTTCTCCTCTGCACTTCTCCTTGCTGCCACGATGTGAAGAAGGACATGTTTGCCTCCCCTTCTGCCATGATTGTAAGTTTCCTGAGGCTTCCCCAGTCATGGTGAACTGTGAGTCAATTAAACCTCTTTCCTTTGTAAGTTACCCAGTCTCGGGTATTTCTTCATAGTAGCACATGAGAATGGACCAATACATCTGTCTTGCCACTAAAACCTGTTTCCTGTTTTTGGCCATGCTCTGAGCCCTCATTCTTTCTGTGACCTTAAGAGGATGTATAAGCTGCTGTACCTCATTGAGGGGTTGAGTTTTCATTCTGAAGGCTCTTGGGTATACTCGTTAGATAAATGTGTATGCCTTTTCTCCTGCTAATCAATCTGCCTCAAGTCAGCAATTTTTCAGTGAGGAAAATTCTTCCTCCATTGCACTTCTGTTGTGCCTTATTTATGTATGGACTCTATCATCTCATTCTCTATCAGAAACTCATGTGTCTATTGATTCCTTCTAGAATACAAACTCCACTAGGGCAGAGATCTCCAGGTTCCTCAGGCCCCACATAAGCTCACAATAGACATCCCTTCATTCCCAGGAAGAGAAAATATCATGAAGGTAATTTGTTCTTTTCTTGAATAATTGCTTTTCCCTGAATGTCCATGGCTCTAAAGAAGACCCTTTATTTAGGACCATAATCATGTGAGGCTTTTATTTAAAAACTCTTTATGGGCCGGGCATGGTGACTCTCTTCTGTAATCCCAGCACTTTGGGAGGCTGAGGTAGGTGGATCACCTGAGGTCAGGAGTTTGAAATCAGCCTGGCCAACATGGTGAAACCTCATCTCTACTAAAAATACAAAATTACCTGGGAGTGGTGGCACATGCCTGTAATCCCAGCTACTTGGGAAGCTGAGGCAGGAGAATTACTTGAACCTGGGAAGCGGAGGTTGCAGTGAGCTGAGATCGTGCCATTGCACTCCAGCCTGGGCAAGGAGAGTGAAACTCCATGTCAAAAAATAAGTTAATTAATTAATTAATTAAAACTCGTTATGAATGCAATTTCTGTGTAAATGTAACTGGACCCAGGTTCAGCTGCTTGCTGCTGGATAGCTAATGCATAAGAGGTAAGGGCTAGTGAAAGGAAAGGTAGTTCTAGTTGGAGAGCCAGTAAACCAAGAAGATAACCTTGCTTTGTGTGAGGCCGAGAAAGATATTGGAGAAAAACGGCATTTGAACTAACCAGTAAAGAATAACTAGAAGAATGCTAAGTGAAGGAAATAAAAACATTTCACCCCAAGGTATATCTCATTGACATACTTTAACTAGTGAACTAGCATTCTAAAGTGCCATCTTAAATTTTTAAATTTGCCATAGGATTTTGAAAGGGAAACTTGGCATGGGAGACATGCAGGGATGGTGCAGGGTGCTGAGTCTGTGTGTCTTGTTCCAATGGCTATCTTGGGTGTCCAGAGGTTTGGTGGCATTATTTTGACTTCAGCCCAATGATAGTGGACTAAATTGTTCAAGATTCCCCCTAAGCGAGAGGATTCCTCAGGGCTCTGTGCCTGGTTTGTTTCAAGATTAGCCTCTGGAATTTCTTAAGCAAGATTATAATTAGATAAGATATTAGATAGTATTATCAGAGTGGAGTGTGCAGAGAGGGTAGGAATGAAGAGGTGAGAGTGGAGGAAAGGAAGAGAAAGTGGGTGATTTCTAAAATTGAGGTCCACAGTTACATAAGTATCTATAAGTTAAAGAATATGTCTTTTATATTCTTCTCGATGCTTCTAAAAAATCTTAGAAATAAGTGATACTAAAAAAAACCCTGCTAGATGTTTTAGCTCAGAATGTATGAAAAAGATTTTAACAAAATGTCAATAAGGCATAACAATTACACATTTTGATATTTAAAAAGGCAGATCAAAAACTATGATCCACTTTACTCTACCTCAGCCTGCAGGACACTTTTGAAGACAGACACAACTCAAGCCCAGATGACGCCTTGTTCCTTAGAAACAGTGAGTCACTACTAACTGTTTCAAGGTGTACCCAAGTGATGAGAATTAACACAGCTCGCAATGACCTAGGCATTTGGTTAGCTCAATGACCACCCAGGATACATACAATGAATCATAAGCTTCCTCATTTCTCACACTTAAAAACAGGAGCATACTTTCTTTTTTCCTGTCAGCATTCCAGATGATTGACACATGCATTTCTCCACGAGGCCTTAGCCCAATCAGAAGCTCTCCCAAAATGATATCAAGATGAGAAACAGACAAGCGACAGTGGCCCTCCCATGTCACATGATACCCAGAGACTGAAGTCATGTGACACTGAAACCAAGAAAAGGAAAACAAGAGTTGACTCATGTGGGAACACCAGGGTGAGAAAAGGGAAATAATCATTTTCTATATAACAGGATTTTTTACTAGAAAAACACAATAATATGGTTTAGTAATTGCATTTGTGTCATATAAACAAAAACAAGGAAATAATCTTCTCATAATCACAAAGGCTCCTCAGCTGGGTATAAAAGGGGCCATGTAGCAAGGAAGACTCTCAAACTCACGAAACTCACTCTCCTGGAAACCCACCCAGAACCTGCACCCTCTGACACCATGGTCAGCTCCTGTTGTGGCTCTGTCTGCTCTGACCAGGGCTGTGGCCTGGAGACCTGCTGCCGCCCCAGCTGCTGCCAGACCACCTGCTGCAGGACCACCTGCTGCCGCCCCAGCTGCTGTGTGTCCAGCTGCTGCAGACCCCAGTGCTGCCAGTCTGTGTGCTGCCAGCCCACCTGCTGCCGCCCCAGCTGCTGTCAGACCACCTGCTACAGGACCACCTGCTGCCGCCCCAGCTGCTGTGTGTCCAGCTGCTGCAGACCCCAGTGCTGCCAGACCACCTGCTGCAGGACCACCTGCTGCCGCCCCAGCTGCTGCATCTCCAGCTGCTGCCGTCCCAGCTGCTGTGTGTCCAGCTGCTGCAGACCCCAGTGCTGCCAGTCTGTGTGCTGCCAGCCCACCTGCTGCCGCCCCAGCTGCTGCATCTCCAGCTGCTGCCGCCCCAGCTGCTGTGTGTCCAGCTGCTGCAGACCCCAGTGCTGCCAGTCTGTGTGCTGCCAGCCCACCTGCTGCCGCCCCAGCTGCTGCATCTCCAGCTGCTGCCGTCCCTCTTGCTGTGAATCCAGCTGCTGCCGCCCCTGCTGCTGCCTGCGTCCAGTCTGTGGCCGAGTCTCCTGCCACACCACTTGCTATCGCCCAACCTGTGTCATCTCCACCTGCCCCCGCCCTTTGTGCTGTGCCTCCTCTTGCTGCTGAGCTCCTTTCCTGAACCTGTCTCCTCCCCTTCAGCTCACTTATCACAGAAGCAGACCTTGTGCATCTCATAGACAACTCAGGAGAGGCCATTCCCACCAACTGTGGGTCCATATACTGGACATATATCTAGGATATATGTCCTGGATATACATCTAGAATATATGTTCCCCATGTTAACCCAAGTGTGAAATTAGATGTTATTTACTGCAAGAAATTAATAGAATTTATCAAGTTTTATACCCTATATTTGTATTTATGGATACCAAGTTCTTCTGTCCCAAACGTGGAAATTCTTGCAGGGTTACTCAGGGCAAGGATGTCTCACTCTCAGATTTGAAAGTCTGATTTTTTCACCCTGTATTTCCTTTTACAGCAATGTTTCTGTATCTTTTTTTTTCTGCTTCTGAATAAAACTCCACCTTTGTCGCATAGAAATACAATGTTCTTTTTGTGTTGCTTTGTAATGATTGTCCTTAGTTCCTGAGAAATTACACCCAAAACACAACTGAATGAATCCTATTCTTGCTCTCACCTTCAAGAAAATCCCAACATGTAATAAGTTTAAAAAATAAATAAACAACGGCAATACATGGATGCTTCCAAAAGTATTGAAGAAAAATAAAGATTTTTAGTTAAGTTTTTTTATGAATATAGAGAAGGGTTCTATCCCACAGCTAAATTTTCTTAAATATTTTTGAAAGTGTATCTTTCCCTACAACCCCACTCCTCTCTTATTTGCTTTATTCTTCCATTTTCCTCCTCCACCCATGCCCGCTGATCCTGTCATCTTGTTCTGCCCTCATCTCTTTTATCCCACTCTTGTAAAACCAGAGGCTACTCTTTAGGGTTTATCCATCTCTCATGTAATTCAATTTATTACACTCTCAGTTGCTTTAATTTCATCTCCATCCACTAACAACAAAGTAATTACCTTTAGGGAAAATTAATCTTCTGAGAAGTTGGGGAATTGCAGAAAATGTAAAATATTCAAATTTTAATATTTTTCCTACCTTAATGACTTTTCTGTGATGTGTATTTAACAGCATGGTCTTAGGGCACTTGGTCTTGTTCAATAAATTCCACAAAAATGAATTTTCATAGAGAAATATGGGGACTTAGAAGAAACGAACTAACAGACTAGTTTGGTTCTTAGGTAAACACAGAATATGGCCTATAAACTCCATCCTAGGGGAAAATGGTGAAAATAAATTTTACATCAATTGAAGCTAGTAAAAGCAGGAGAAACAGTTAGAAAGTTCTGTACTAAATACATATTCTAGGAGTTAAAGGTCCAATGAATAATGCAGTGGTATTGAATCATGAATCTTTAACTTCAATAGGTTCTACTACATGAACAAACAATAATTTAAACTGTGTAGGGGCATTATTCCTCCACATCACTTACAGCACACAACTCCTGATGGGTCAGAGAAAGTAGGTGAAAATTAAATGAACCTTCAGTTGGTCTCAGCATATGAAATGGGACTTTGAATGCCGTGGGACTGAATGTGGCTTCCTGGTCATAGGGAATAAGTGTCTGAGAAAAAGACATCTATGCCCTGAGCTGTGGGACACTCCATCACTTGTAAGTTGAAAACAAAGCAACAGAAACCACAGGAGACTGCAAAGGAATCACCAGAGAAGTAAGACAACAACTAGTAGAGTGCAAGGTCCAAAATCCCGATTAAGGAAAGAGTGGTCACTTGAAAAATTAAAGGACACTCATAGGTGGGAATTGAACAATGAGAACATTTGGACAGGGCGGGGAATATCACACACTGGGGCCTGTTGGAGGGTGGGAGGCTGGGGGAGGGCTAGCATTAGGAAAAATGCCGAATGTTAATGACGAGTTGATATGTGCAACAAACCAACATGGCACATGTATACCTATCTAAAAGCCTGCAGGTTGTGCACATGTACCCTGGAACATAAGGTATAATTAAAAAAAATTAAAGGACAGAATTTCAGTTCCAGTTGTGTAACTGATAGAAGATTCAACCTCTCTGTAGGAATGACTCTAATAATTAGACAAAACTAAGAAAACAGTTGTTTATGAGCATTGGGAGTTCACTTATGCAGACAGTATTTGAGGGACCATGGTCTCAGAAAAAAATTAAATTCCTTCAGGTGAAAGACAAGATCACCTCCAGCCTCTACAGTTTTTCATATATAATTTCTGAATCTCTGGCATTCAATTTAAAAAATTACCATGCATGCCAAAAAAAATGGCTAAATGAGCAAAATCAAGAAGAAAAGAAAATAGAAACAGAGCCAAGGATGATCTATATATAGGTACTAACACTGACTTTAGAATACTTACAATTAATATATTTGAAATAATAGATTAAAAATGTAAATTTTATTAAAGAAGTAGAATCTACTTTTAAAGAGTTCGGTGAAAATTCTAGAACCAAAAATCTCAAAAACTGAAATCAAGAATTCATTAAATAAGTTTAACAGAAGATTAGACAGAAGAGAGGAATAGCAAAATGGAAGTAGAAAATATTCACAGTGGAATATAGAGGGAACAAAAGTTTTAAAATAGAGATAATAGCATAAGACACACTTAGAGCATAGTGAAAAGTCTAAGATACATATAAATTGGAGTCCCAGAAGGAGAGAAGAGAGAATGGAGAAGTAATAAACAAAGAGCTACTGGAGGGCAATTTGAAACAATTGATAACTTCAAGTCACAGATTCTAGAATGTCTCTGAACCCAAGCAGAGTGAATAAAAACAAAAACCACATGTAGACATATCAAGGAAAGTTGTTGAAAACCAAAGATAAGGACTTCATGTCTAAAACACCAAAAGCAACGGCAACAAAAGCCAAAATTGACAAATGGGATCTAATTAAACTAAAGAGCTTCTGCACAGCAAAAGAAACTACCATCAGAGTGAACAGGCAACCTACAGAATGGAAGAAAATTTTTGCAATCTGCTGACAAAGGGCTAATATCCAGAACCTACAAAGAGCTCAAACAAATTTACAAGAAAAAATCAAACAACCCCATCAAAAAGTGGGCAAAGGATATGAACAGACACTTCTCAAAAGAAGATATTTATGCAGCCAACAGACACATGAAAAAATGCTCATCATCACTTGCCATCAGAGAAATGCAAATCAAAACCACAATGAGATACCATCTCACACCAGTTAGAATGGCAATCATTAAAAAGTCAGGAAACAACAGGTGCTGAAGAGGATGTGGAGAAATAGGAACACTTTTACACTGTTGGTGGGACTGTAAACTAGTTCAACCATTGTGGAAGACAGTGTAGCGATTCCTCAAGGATCTAGAACTAGAAATACCATTTGATCCAGCCATCCCATTACTGGGTATATACCCAAAGGATTATAAATCATGCTGCTATAAAGACACATGCACACGTACATTTATTGCGGCACTATTCACAATAGCAAAGACTTGGAACCAACCCAAGTGTCCAGCAATGACAGACTGGATTAAGAAAATGACAGACTGGATTAAGAAAATGTGGCACATACACACCACATGTACACCTAGATCTAGGTTTTTTGTTTTTTTTTTTTTTTTTGAGACAGAGTCTCGCTCCATCACCAGGCTGGAGTGCAGTGGCCCGATCTCAGCTCACTGCAACCTCCACTTCCTGGGTTCAAGCAATTCTCCTGCTTCAGCCTCCCAAGTGGCTGGGACTACAGGCACGCACCACCACCCCCAGATAATTTTTGTATTTTTAGTAGTGACAGGGTTTCACCATGTTTGCCAGGATGGTTTCGATCTTCTGATCTTGTGATCTGCCTGTCTCGGCCTCCCAAAGTGCTGGGATTACAGGCGTGAGCCACTGCGCCCAGCCCATCATCCAGATTTTAAGTCCCACATGCATTAGGTATTTGTCCTAATGCTCTCCCTCCCCTTGCCCCTCACCTGCCAATTTCCATTTTTTGTTTACCTTCTAAACCCGTTTATACATAGTCTCCTTCAGAATCTTCAGTTATCTCAATTCCTGAGGCTATAGTCCCTTTTCCTGTGTCTACTATACTACTCATGATAAATTATTTTCTTACATATTTTGTAATATTTGCTTGTGCATTTATCTTATGCAGAAATTGACCCCTGTGGGGCATCCCATGCAATCTGTGTGTGGTTTCTTAGAGGTTTATTTTTCCTTACGCTTAATGCTTTTTTGTGTATTTTTTCTTTTGGGGGGTTCTTTCTATGTGCTCTTCCTTTTCCTCTTGTTTCTGATTATTTCAAGGACATGCACTATTTGGTATCAGCAGTTTCTCACCTTGAGATTCCTCCACTATGCATATAGTGTGAATTAGGAAGCTTGGTGATATTGCATAGTTTAGTTGTTCATGACTCTATTACCACATAAAATTCCTGTGGGCAGACTAAGATTGTCTTGTTTCCATCTTATGCACAAGAATGCTTTCAGAATGTAACTTTAAGTTTACATTCTTCTCTTTTGACATCAAAAGACGTCTTGGCATCATGAGAACAATCTGCCCAAATAGCATTCTTAAGAATGTAAATTTTATATAAGGGTCTTACTTCCTAGATCCTGCCTTGTGATAATTTCAGGTCCCATTTCTTGTACCTGCCTGAGTTTTAACCACCAGCCTCCAATTCTGAGGGCATCTAACCAGATGCCAAACCTTCCCACAGGCCACAGGACATCAGCTAGTGTTTGCCATTTGAGCTCCCTCTTAGTTTCTGACAAATGAGAATTTTTCTCTACTTTTCTCAAGTTCAACTACATGATTGATTTTTTTTTTAATTTTTGAAGCATTTATATTTACTTGTACCAGGAAGTGGGTCTGTCAGTATCAATTCAGTCAGCTACATTGCCAGAAATTCTTTATTTTCAGAGACCCAAGGAGATGAAAGATTTACTGTGTTAGAAATATTTTTAAATGGTTTTTTATAGTAGACGCTCCTATGAAGTAAATTTTACTGTATACTTCAGCGTTTCCTCCAAAAGACCCAAACTCCTCACTCTTATTATAGTAACAGTTGTTAAATTAAGTTTAGTCTAAAGCTGACCCTTTACATATTTTGGGTTTGGCATAAAGGTTTCTCCATGCATAGTAAATTGTAACCTAACCGAATATGTAAACAAACTGTGACATACCATTCCAACAAGTATCCAAGTCCACAGCAGCCCAGTTCTGGTCAATCACAGGGGCCAACTGTTTAAACCATGTTCAACTAAGGCAAACATTGAGCTCTAACCAACCCAGCTATTTCTGTCCCTCACTTTGGTTTTATGTACATCACTTTCCTTTTCCTTTTTTTTCTCTTTTTTTTTTTTTAGATTAGGGTTACTTTTAATAATTGAAGTGTGTGATCATAATATTCAGATATTTAATATTAATATTAAATTAATATTCAGATATTTAATAGAACGTCATATGGTCTCAGTTGCAACTACTCAAATCACTTTCC